GTTAGGATGGGCATCGAGCTCCTTTTCCCGATGGATTCCAAAAGCTGGGCATTTGCAATGATCTGCTGTTGATTCTGGTGAATCCGCCTTTGTGCCAGATCGAGCATTTGCCGTTGGCGAAGAACTTCCAGAGGACTCGTGACGGAGAGAGTTGGACCATTCCTTCTCTTCACAAGTGACATATGGCTCATAGGGATATCCACTAAAGAGACCTACAAAAGATTTATTTTTATGAAAACAAAATAAGTCAACAATATGACCAAAACTGTTGGGTTTAAATAGCTTTTTTATGTGCAAAATGAATAATTCTTTAAGATTTGTTAAAAATTGTGCGAGTACTCAATTTGAACAGAATTAAACACCTGTCAAAACTAAAATCGAAGACGTTTTTGGGAAAAGCTCTGATATTGCAAATTTGGAGTAAAATATAGTTCCTTGTAACATTTAAAATAATTGCACAACTTGTATATGGACAACAACATAATTATCTTTTATGGACGAACTTTCATTAAACAAACTCTAGCGTCTGCAAGTATTACGAGCTATATACTCGGAAATAATTTTGAAGCTTTTATTTTTTACTTCCTCGTACGAAGTAAAAAGGAAGTATTGTAATCGCGAAAAATTTCAGGCAGCATATTTCAACGAAAATATCCCATTTTGACCGCTATCGAATGCAATTTTAACGATGTTTTTGCGTGATATCTGTACGTAAGGACAGAATAAAACTCTTTCCTCCAAAAAAAAATTATAAAACTGCTTTAAAATGAATTCTGAAGAGAATTTTTTCGTGGCGTCTGTACGAACGTAACGTACGTACGTATCTCGCATAACTCAAAAACGAGTAGCCTCAGAACGTTGAAATTTTGTATATAGGACTGCTATAAACATGTAGATGTGCACCTCGTATTTTGGTTGCAATCGGCCGCACCAAACGTATATAAATATATTTATATATATATCCACTCTGTTACCCGGCTCAGTGATCTCAGTTTCTTTACTCTTATATGTTTGTAAATTGTACATTTTTGCTTTAAAAATGATTGAATTATGTTGTTTTATCTTCCGGTTAAGGTTTTTATGCCTTTAGTAAATCTGTGTGCAATATTTTAGAATTATCAACAATTTTAAAGTTGTTTTAAGTGCCGCCTAATTTTTTTATGGCGGCCATTGTTGTTACATTTGAAACAGCAGGATAGTGGATTTGTTGCCAATCTAGAGACTTAGCTTCGCAAACAACAAAGATGCCTTCATTTATTATTTAAATCATGCTTAATCCTTTCTGGAATTTTTTTTGAGGAAATAAGCGTTTAAGATTTACTTCGTAATTTTTAATATAGATATTTTGAGTTTTTATGTATTTTTGCCTTGTCGCGAAGTGAGAACTGAATTAATTGAATGAGAAATACAATCGTCTGTGAAAAACTGTTTCTTTTTTGTTTTGTTTGCTTAATTTCTTTATACATCGTTCTAGCTTTATTATAGTATTTGATAGAACATGTGGCAACGATTAGATAATTCTTTAAATGATATAAATTTTGTGCATTTGAGTTATAATATGAAACGAAATATAATACTGTTAAGTGAACCTAGCGGCAGAGTGTCGCTATGGTAAACAAAGTGACTTTTAAAGAATGCATTTATTCTATTGTGGTTTATGCGGTGTCGGCGAAGTAGGTTTAATTCAATCCAAAAAGTTTAAATGAAATGCAAGAAAAAATGCGTATAATTTAATATTCCGTACAAGAAAGTCATGTGGTGCACACATCAGATTTTTTTATTTAGGAATACAAAATTTATTTCATTTTTAATTGTGCTTAATCAATACTTCCGATGTTTCCAAATATTTTACATGATCTCTTTCAATATTTATGAAATTCCATTTATGGTTAACTTCCAGGAATTACTGCTTATCTTATCTATCCTATAAACGTGCTATGTCTAGAGAAAGCTTTCCGTATTGAGAAAGATAATTCAGATTCATTTTATGCTATATTTTTCTTACTTTCACTTGATACTGAACAAGGCGTGTATTGTCAAAGATTAAAGGTCATTAAAAGGGTTCAGATTGAGACTTTATCAATTTTTTATGCCATCAGAATAGCGCGTATGTAAGTACTAAATTTTATGAAAGTCTATAAGCAAAACGTTATTTGGTAGTGTAAGATTAACCATGCTAACAATCATACCGCTATCATGCTTCCGACCTGTCGACATGAAGTTCAGCTCGTTGTATATTTTCAGCTCTAATTTGTCGCACAGACATAGTTATAAAGGGGGGAGTCAGCGATGCATGGATTGGACGTGGCCAGTGATATTACCGGAAGAGAAGCTACGTCATCCATGACATCGCTGGAAGAGGCAGAGATTTTAGAGTGAAGAGGTTTGCATGCTGCTTCAAAATTATACAACACTAAAAGTTTATTTTCACCGAATGACAACGGCAACCGTAGTAATGGTTACCTTGTATTACTATGATGATGCGACAGCGTGATCTCTTTATTTAAAGCTTGAGATTAAATTTCACAAAACCCATTTAATTTTCACACACACATATATAATCACATGAGCTTTTACTGAAAGCCTCAGCCTTCTGACGCTTGAGGGTCTCTCTTTCACAGTCATCTTTTCCTTTAATTCCCAGGTGTCATCCCCTTCCCACAAATCCACTGTGAAGCATTAAAAACTGTCAATTTTATTGTTCTTTATGTCTCTACTTTATAATGTCCATGCGCTAGTGCTTGTATACCATCCTCTAAAATGTATCTTTTATCGTCAAACGGGTAGACTTTGTTCTTATGTATAGTGAAGAAATGGCTTTCCTCGCTTCCAAATTCTGTGCTGAATTTCTTGTCCAGGCTGTAGGCTTTGGAGGCGTTGTTTGCAATTTTTATCCATGATTTTATTGCTCACGACATGATATGAAACAACTTATGTTAAGTTCTCTTCTCTTCTGTCCCCGATATGGAAGAATACATTTTAAGGCGCAAACCCACAAATTCATACACTAGTTTTGATGAGATTCCATCTCTCATACATCCAGTTTTCTTTTCGGAGAAGAAAAAGTATAAAAAGCATATTCCATTCTGTATTCAACTCGCCACAGCATATAAAAATGCCTATGAAAGAAGAAAAGTATTTAGCATTTAAAAATCAGCACGTCCAGCATCTGATCCCGTATATTCTACACATTTTTTACACGAAATATATTGTATTCACAAAACTAAATTACATAAAATTCTTGTGTTTTAAATGTTTTACTTGAACATCCCTTATTCTGAACTATCTTCGACACCGCAATTTCAGGATAATATGGCTTTTGAAGTGGCAGAAGAGGTGCTCTATCCCCGTTCCTCCCGAACAGCTTACCAGAATCCTGTTAGGGTTTTGGCACGTTTGCGATAATGCGTTTTAAAAGTCCGAAGCACAAAATCCATAGGTGACACATCGAGAGATTAGTAGGGATATCGTGAAGGGTATGGCCTTGATGCCAGTTTCTTGTTCCATTTCTTTAGGAAATTTTACCGTGAAATTGATGTGTTGACTGCTACTTTATCCTGATGGAGTCTCACAGATCGATGGCACTGTGGGTAAAGCGATGGTATTTCATTCAGAAAATTGGCGATAAAAATATGTTCCTGATGTATTGGAGTATCTCGATATTTTTGCATTCGCTTTATTTTAACTTGCATTATAAGAAAAATCAGCAACATCATGAATCCCTTAAAAAACGTTCTTTCTCTTTGAACATGTACTTAAATTTTTTCTCCTCTTTTATGATATAAATGCTTTTTTTTTTGTTACAATCATTGAAATACACCCATGCTTCACCTATTGTGACAATTGTTTTCCATTTTTCTTTGGATAAGTGTTTCTCATATAGAATTCTGCAGCGTGTCCTGCGTCGAACGATATACTTTGGAAGAAGGCGATGCACATTGCGTTTTTTCGCTTTCTTAAGATTTAAATCAACGTTTATCATTTTGTTTACAGTGGACACTGAGCATTTTAATGATTTTGCAACTGTCCTTCGACTAGGGGGATTTTTTTTAAATTAAACAACGTACCTTTCAATAGTCGGATGTCGTTTTTCCTTGGACACTTGTTTTTGATTTTTGTCCCACTTGAGGCTCCAATTTGACGTTTTTTTTTTTCCTTTCTTGTTGATGATATTACTAATCTAACGCTTAGATATCAAAAACCATGACTCTCAACATCGTTTTTGGATAACGGAGTATGCATATTTCTCTCCGGAAAGAGCGTAAATGTAGCCTTCGAACCACCGCTTTGTTAAATTCGCCATTTTGAACAAAAATAAAACTTTCAAGCCACGGAACCACATAATTTTGACTTTTAAAAACATAGTATAATTGCAATTACTTCTTTTATAGCAAACGATTTTTTATTACCGCTTACCAAAATTGTTTAAAAAATGTGCGAACAGCCTCTGTATATACTGATTTCGAAGCAATAGTTAAAAAAGTGGATACAGTGGAACCCAGTAACGCTGCCTTTTATATACGCAACCTATCATGAAACACGAAGCTGCGGATAGGTCTATGTATAGTTATTGGCCCCGATGCGAAAAAGTGTGAAGCTGGCTCACGTTTATTGAGGATCGTATGCCGTGGATAATTTTTTATATAATATTGTTGTCCGTTAAAAAGATGAACTTGCAGAAAAATTAACATGCATCATTCCCCCAGCTATGACCCACAACAAGGACAGCACTTTGTAACGGCTACATTTTGTAATTGTTGCAAGACGTCTCTTGGTAAATATCGCGTTCATGATCATGACCACATGACGGACGTTATGAAGGAGCGTTACACAATTCATATAACTTGAAATATTGTCTGCAGAAAAAAGATACCTTGTAGCATTTCATAATTTGGAGCAGTACGACGCTCATCATTTAATGTGCAAGGATTATGAAAGACTGAAGACCATCAAATCGAAGTTCTTGCACTAAACTTTGAGCAATACGTTACGTTCGCCCTCAGCAAAAAGCATAACAATATCAAAGTTTCCTTGCAGTTTATAGATAGTTTTCAGTTTTTTGAACACATTCCGGGAAAAGCTCGTACACAACCTGCCTAGAGACAAGTTTTACATTTTGCATGAAAATATAATGGAAGGTTATATATCTCTTCTCTTAAAGAAACGTCCCTACCGTCTCCTTCCGCCTTTCATATCTAATAGCTTACCAGCTATGAAAGCTATTCATATAATAGCTTAACAGCTATTATATGAAAGCTATTATATGAATACCTTAACAGCTATTATATGAAAGGCGGAAGGAGGCGTCATATTCATATAATAGCTTAACCGCTATTATATGAATATCACGAAATTTCGTCGTAATTATTGTTAACAGATGCAAGGCACTGTGGAACAGTTTCAAGATTCAGACGATGGGGGAATATCACTATTTATATGTTACATCAGATGTCCTCCAACTTGCGAATGTGCTTGAAATTTTTCGAAAACTTTTGTATGCAATTTTACGAAAGAGGCTGTGCGCGTGTGATGACAACTTCCAGTTTGTCCTGTATAAAAATGATTAGTCAGCCTATCAAACTTTTAACAGATATAGATACGCATCTATTCATAGAACATTGCATACGAAGTGGAATTTCTATTATTACAAAGTGGTGAGCACAGGCCAATATGTATATGCAGAATTATGACTCTGCAAGTTATATTGTAAGGATCCTAAGTTTTACTAACGTTCATTTTATTTTAAATCTTTACTATCACTTCTCATTTTCTACTTCCGGACAAAATTAAAAGCTTATTTTATGCAAATTTGTCTTGCGAACGCCAAGTACTTAAGTTGTGGCTTTTTGCCAAGCAAGAGGGAGAGGAAGGAGTTAGTAGAAGCAGGCCGCTTGCCTTAGCAATTTTACTCGGTTTGCTGGTTGCCTTCAAGGCCAGAGGTTTAATCCTCTTGATAATTTTAAAAACGTATCGTAGTTGTTAACAGTTCTCTGTACTACATACGGCCTTTCTGTTAATATTCGGCCAATCTTCAAGTAGCCACTTGTTTATTAATCCAAAGTTAGTTTAGTTAGAATTTAGTTAATATTTTTATATTCTTACGTTCAGACCACAAGTGGTTGGTCTCTGTATTCCGAAGTCCGGAAATCTTTGTAAAGAGAGAAAAATAAAGGGTTTCGTATACCCTTCCTGTGCATCTTGTCTACTTCCGACATTTATTGAACATAGCTTTAGTAAGCTCCCTGTTCCGAGTCAGGTTATTGAATGTTCCCCAAGCAAGTAAGGAGAAACACTGAACCTGATAATATTATGTGTTTAGATGTCAACAACTTATATGGTTGGGCGATCTGGCAGTCACTGCCGTATAGAGAATTTCACTGGATTCGAGCAGAAGGAGTGACGTGAGAATGGATTCGCTCCATTTGTGAAGATTCCACCGAAAGACGTATTTCAGAAGTGGATTTGAAGAATCCTCCGGAGCTGCATGATGCCCGAAACGATTACCCTTACGCACCTGAAAAGATGGAAATTAATTTAGAAGTTCTTTCTCTTTGAACATCCTGCCCCATCAGAATTTTAATAGTCAAATTAAACTAACTCTCAATTTGAATGATAGGAAAATTATATAAATAAAAATAAATAAATAAATAAAAATTTACAATTTTATTTAACCCTTCCCGGCACGCTACCTTTTAAAGTTGGAGTTTTGATTTAAAAATAAAAAAAAAAAGAGTAGGCAGTCTAATTAGATCTAGAGGAGTACACAAGTAAAATTTTATGAAGATAGCACTTATCGTTTTAATTCTGTGGGTGTGCATAAAGTAGCACACTGATTGAATAGAGCTTCGGAAAGTGTGCTGAAACGAGCATTTTTGTCAATGAACTGACCGATGAGATGCAGAGAAACAAAGATTACAGACTCTCAGTTGTCCCTAGATTATCGGTGAACCCGGTCTGGGCACACCTAGGGTTCGCCGTTTGATTTTAGGCAAGATTTCAAGGTAAAAATTTAAAACTAATATAGAATAAGAAGATTAGCATACAGCCAAAAAAATAACATAGATATTTATTTTCAAACAATTCCTTTTATACTCTAAAAAAAATCTGGAATATTTCTTTGAAAAATGAAGGTGTTAAAAAACTAAACATGGCTAAAATATATGTACTGGTTTGTGTTGAGCTGCCATCTACTATAAATAAAGAAGGTTCAGAGTATCTATAGTAACCTATAAATCCTTTTTCATTCAATTTTTCTGTGCGTACAGAAGGAAAATTTTAGGTTTGTCCAGACCGGACACACTGTGCCGCAAAGGGTTAAAGCAGGGTCTAATATTAACAACAGTTCGTAGAATTATGAAGTTTAAACAGAAGATATGGCTGAAACCTTACACTGATTGTAACACTGATCAGCTCAAAAATGCAAAATCTGCCTTTGACAAATATTTTTCTTAATATTACTGAATAATTCCATCTATGGTACAACCATGGAAAATATAAGAAAAAGAGTGAAGCATAACAACATCAAAATGTGAAAGTCGGAAGTGAACACACACACACAGAAAGGCTGAAAAACTAGTTGTTTATGCCAGTTTTAAAATGTTTAAAAAGTTTAGCGAGAATCTCATTGTGGTGGAAAGATTAAGAAACCAGCCTCACTTTGAAACCACCTGAACTACATGCTCTACTCGAACTACGTGCCTAAAACGTACTCTTTCTTATAGGAGACGGGAGAGAAGAAAACATCATAGGGAGTTTCATGTCGTGCAAAATAAATTAATGCATGAAAATTACAAACAATGCCTTCCTTATCGTTCTTTAGATTTCATTCATTACCTCGTCATCCTTCGCATAGTTTTTATTCTATAACGTTCCCTGTTGTGGAACATCACAGACTGCTTTCATTTGAAAAAATATTACATCTGCAACACTGTTACGTTATTTAACTATGGAAATTTTAGATTCATGACGAAGCTTTCATGGCCTGAGCATACATGTAAATTTTCTGTAATATTGAGTTAATTTATGATGATTCAGAGCAGCAGTTGTACAAGCCGCAATAAAAGCATTGGACATGGAACTATGGATTCTTATCCCCGCAGAAAATATATAGAGAAAATAAACTTAAGAGAGTATAGAAATTGAGGTTAAAATGATTTTTGTCGTGATACACTTAACATTCAAAAGATGGCTCCAGAAACTGAGTTTATTTGCTTGGTCTTCTCTATCTTTCCTGGAATAGACTTTCATTATCAAATATCTGATTTGATGTTGTTATTGTATATCAAATATCTTAACCAATATAACACCCAAATTCTAAAAGAAGCTAGTTAGAAAAATATTTCTTGCACGGGTTCTTTAACTGTAATATGATCACGAGGTCCTTAAGTAATCTTTACCTCATTGAAAGCAGATGAATCGTTGTCTTCCTGTTGGCTTCTGTCTTCCTGAGATTCGGATCTGAAAACATCCAGTCTTATTTTTGGAAAACTGTCCGCCGCATCTTTCAGGTGGCTGCGTCGGAAACTCGATTGCTCTTCGGACTGGCTGAGAGGGTAGGAGGCCATTCGCTGGTAACTTTCGCAACAGGACTCTTGCGTCAGGAGGACCATGCACACCACCACTAGCAGTGCACTCCAGAATGAGGTGAAACACAACATAACTTTCTGGTAAGCTGTCGGGAGAGGAAATATTAAAAGATCTCACCCATCGGCATAAATATTTATTCATTCATAAAAATGTACTTTTAACACTGAAGTCATAGTATTAGGAATAATTTTGCTTCCATTACAATAGGTTTTTCGACCCTTTTTTTATCCTTTGGAGCAACTTCCTGAAGTAATCGTCAGTTTTTATGGAACCGTTTCACAAAATTACTGTAACTATATATCGCTGCATTTTAATAATTAAAGAAATTAAAAAAATCTGAATGACGCCCAAAGAGGCCTTTTTTTAACGTTTTTGTGTGTTATCTTTATTTATTAAATATCACGTTCTTCGCATTTAAACCATGAAATTCAGTTTGTAATGATTATGTTAATTTTATCAACAGTTAAATTTTAAGTTAAAAGTTCCTTTCCTGTCAAATTCTTAACTTCAACTTCCAACCAGAACGTAGTTTTGGAATCACTCTGAATACTTAACGAGGAGGAGCGGTATTTAAATCGCGAAGTTCTACATGCTGAATTAGAGAGAATCGGAGTTTCCGATTTGCGCGCGTCTGCCTTTTGGCTACTCTCTCTCTCTCAAAGCTGTTATTACGCTATCAAGGGCCGTACTCAGGCCCTTGATAATCTTCGTATTCAAATAGAGTTAAGGGGTCAACGCGATTAGAATCTTGATAGCTTCGGCTATATCTCTTTAGTTAATCTTAGTTTTAGTTTATTTCTTAGTCTCTTAAGTTCAAGCCCAAGTGTCGGCTTTGATTGTACACTCCAAGACGGAGTTTTGTTACATCTTATTGGAATTTACCATTCCATCTTGTTGTTTCTTGTTACACGAACTTAAGCGATTATTCGCTAACTAGTTCTTAAGGTTATTCACTCTTGACTGCAATTACACAGGAGACAGGAGACCACTGGGTGAGCAGCTGTGCCGCCATGAAGACTTTGAGCTTTATTGCTCACTCAGTGGGACCACGTTTATTTAAAATTTTATATTACAACAAAAATTTTGATTTTGATGTACACATAATTTTGACATATACTTGACATACATTGACAGAATTCATAAAGATATTAACAGAAGTTTTGATGGTACGTACATAGAATATAGAATGCGTAATGTAGAGTACAAATAAAGATTTAGATAAAAAATTTGGTTATACATAATAATAAATAGGATTTTGATGGTATGTTGATTGCAATAATAGTTCACAGTTGGTAAATAGCCTAATTCATAAATAGTTCACTGTTCATTATAGTGCACAGTTCATAGTCTGTTAAAGTTTATTTATCTGTTGAAGTTAATATTAGTCTGAAGTAAGTTTCTGATAAAGCTCTGAGAAATTTTATAGTTACTGTGAAGTAGTTTCATATTTGTTGATTGAAGTTGGGCTGTCTTGAAGTGATGCTAATTATGCCGAAAAAGTGCTGATGTGGAATTGTGATGCCTTAATTTATGCTGCCTTTAAATTATCACAATTTTCTATGAGATATTCCATTAAATTATAAAGTTTTTTGTGGAGAGATTTACTTCTGAGTAGTTGTTTGAATCATCCTTGGGCATTTTCACTTGTGAAAGGACGAAAGTGGAGGTCTTTAGTGATTGTACATTCAAACAGGTAATGATCTATTGTTCCTGTTGATCCACATATACAGTTGTCTGTATGATACAAGCCGAAACGAAAAAGATATGAAATGAAGGGTCCATGTGCTGTTAGAAGATATGTTATTGCATTATTTGTTGTAACTAAATTATTTGTTGTAACTAGATAATACTGCAATTACACAGTGGTAAACCTCACAAGTTCAACAAAAATATCACAAAATATTTAAAAGAGCATATCTTTAGAATTTCCGAAACACAGTCTCGCGCGCTGGAGATTATTCCCCCCCCGGTACAGTTTTTCCATGGCTCACTTTGAAATCGTCAAGTTTCTTAATCAAAAAATCATAAATCCTTTACAAAATATGAAATAGATAATAAAACAAATTCCTAATTCAAAATTTGGGCTTCCAGATGCCCATATTCGGGTGGAGATGTACATTCAAACATTGCAGATACCGTTGTTTTATCACAGTGCGAGAAACGTACATATCTTTATGCAAATTCTTCACTATTTAATTTCTTTAAATAATGCAGGGATTTAATATTGGATAGCAACAATTTAAAAAGTGATTTGTCGTTTGTAGTGAATCAACGCAAAATGCGTACGAAATTAATAGCCCTTTTCAGCAAATTGCCCCTGTGGGCTAAAAAAAATACTACTCCTGTTTTCAATAATGATTTTACCCAGACTCATTTTTTTCTGGTTTAGAAACTTACCTTTTTGAACAGTATAAAAAAATAATACAAAATTTCTGTAGAAAAAATATTGATGCAATTCACTGTAATTGCAGGTAAATTACTAATAAATTAAATGCTACTCTTTCCAGCATAACTTTTTGAATTCCTTCTCGAAGATCTGTAGATCACATCATGATGAGGTTGTTTAACATGAAAGGCTGGATTTTACATCTTTCAATAAAAATTATTTCTTGAAATTCGAAGAAATATTTCTTTCGTTAAAATAGGTGCGAAATCCATTATTTATATAAAGGCTGTTCATATTCGTAGATTAATGTAGGCTTCAGCATGGCAAGTTTTCTAAGCATTTTTGGATTTGAGAATGATTTGAATCCGCATTAATCATTTGTCCAATCTAAAGAATGTTAAATGACTAACACTCCTTGTCATTCACTGTATTCCCACCAAGATTGTATTTTTCTCAATTAAGAGAAAGATGGCTTTTATGTTCTGAGATGTTCACTTTAATTAACGGCAATGACCCAATTCTTCTATCGTCCTAAGTGACTCGCATCTCGTTCCGGGTAATGATTCCCTTCAAAAGAAATGTTGTTTTATGTTTCAACTAATTCTTAACTGAAAATTTTGTATCTTCGCTGTTTCTCATGCTTTAAACATTTGCAGCTTAATTCATGACGAACACAGTTGTCAAGTTTTGTAATCTTTCGAGTCGAGGATTAAGGTGATTTCTTTGAACTTATTATAGTAAATTAATCGCACGAGCAATGTTGACAGCAACATGATGTTTAATAAATAAAGTTAACCCACAAAATGTTAATAAAAAGACCAAAAAAATGTTTTACAAGCCATCTTACTAAGAAAACTGAATATTGATATATGATACTGAAAAAATCTGATGTGTACACCACATGACTTCCTTGTACGGAATATTAAATTATACGCATTTTTTCTTGCATTTCATTTAAACTTATTGGATGAAATAAATCTACTTCGCCGACAGCGCATAAACCACAATAGAATAAATGCACTCTTTAAAATTCACTATATTTGTTTACCATAGCGACACTCTAAACAGTTACTTATATAATAATTATATAACGGAACTAAGTTACTGTTATAATATCCAATATATATAACAGTTAACTTATATATTTCGTTCATATTATAACTCATAATCAACAAAATTATATCATTTAAAGAAAAAATTATCTAATCGTTGCCACATTTTCGATTCAAATACTATAATAAAGCTAGAATGATGTATAAAAGAATTAAGCAAACAAACAAAAAGAAACAGCTTTTCACAGACGACTGAGTATTTCTCATTTAATTAATTCAGTTCTCACTTCGCGAGAAAGCAAAAAATACATAAAAACTCAAAATATCTGTATTAAAAATTACGAAGTAAATCTCAAACACTTATTTTCCGAAAAATTCAAGAAAGAATTAAGCATGATTTAATTGGCAATAATAAATGAATGCGTTATGTTTTTGTTGTTGCGAAGCTAAGTTTTCTCTAGATGGGCAACAATCCGCTAGTCCTCCTGTTTCAAATGTAAACCTCAATGGCCGCCATAAAAAAAAAGCTTATTGGCATTTAGAACAACTTTAAAATTGTTGATAATTCTAAACATATTGCACACACAGATTTACTAAAGGCATAAAACCTTAACCGGAAGATAAAAGCAACATAATATAAACATTTTAAAGCAAAAATGTACAATTTACAAACATATAGATTAAGAAACTGAGATCACTGAGCCGGGTAACAGAGTGGATTATATATATAATATATTTATATACGTTTTGGTGCGGCTGATGGCAACCAAAATACGGTGCACATCTACATGTTATAGGCAGTACTATATATACAAAAATTTCAACGTTCTGAGGCTACTCGTTTTTGAGTTATGCGAGATACGTACGTACGCACGTACGTACATACGTTCGTACCGACAACACCACGAAAAATTCTTTCAGAATTAATTTTAAAAAGCAGTTTTTATAATTTTTTTGAAGGAAAGAGTATTTTTATTCTGTCCTTACGTAAGATATCACGCAAAAAACATCGTTTAATTGCATTCGATAGCGGTCAAAATAGATATTTTCGTTAAAATATGCTGCTGAAACTTTTCGCGATTACAATACTTCCTTTTTACTTCGTACAAGGAAGTAAAAAAGATTTAAAAAAATAGACACTGTATTGGGAACTAATCATATACTGCTAACTGTCTAATCACACTAGCAAGAGCAGTTTGGCTAGAGCCAAGATGGGTCAGTTTAATTGAAGGGGAGTGGGTATTTTTCTTTCTCGGAAGTCGTAACGGTTGTAACAGCTTTAATATCGTTATTAATCTCTCGTGCATTTGAAACAGATGAATAATAAATATTGTACAGGTTACTGGCAATATTGAAACGCCGACTCGAGAGCCGCATGCATTTTCTCTCACGAAGCATGTAATTTTTTTTTAAATAAGTTTTTATACCTTTTCTTTTCTTGTTTGTATGTCACCATTTTTTTAGTGTAAAAATAAAAGTTATTGCTGTGTTACATCATTGGAGTTTACCTCAAATTGTTAAAGAGTATCACAGTCTTAATTATTTTGGAGGCACCGGCCGAGATCGAATAATCGTGCGTATTTTTATTTCATTAGTCCATCACTGAGGTAATATTAGTGATACCGGATTATTACTTCTTGTTAATAT